TAAATATGTTATAAGGAGATACAATTTACAAAATATTTTTATACTAACTTTAAAATTAAATCATCCCGCGGTGTACCGTGGGTTAAAATATATATATATATATATATATATAACTCCAAGCTGAAGATTTTGTAAATATATATATAACTCCAAGCATGAAGATTTTGTATATATAACTCCAAGCTGAAGATTTTGTAAATATATAACTATATATACTAAAACTGATGTGTTTCTTAAAGATCAAACAGACAATATAACAAGATATTCTCGTTATTTTGGTCTTTGATATAACTAGATATACTATTATCGTTTTTTATATAAACCGTACGTTATAAAGACTATTATTGTTCCCTTCATTATTTTGATTCATAAGAATCAGAGGTATGTACAATTTTTTCTTTATTTTTTATTTGTGTATTAGAAATCCCTAATAGTTTATCCTTTATTAGATGTTTTTGAGTTACAAAGTGAAGACTTCGTTTTGTGTTCTGAAAACAATGATGATTACGGTTAAAAGCAAACCCATGTGAAAAAACAAACCCATGAAATTGTGGTTCATTGAATACACAGAATTAATAGGGAGAACATTTTGGAGAAAAGTATATGTATATATAAAAGTTTACTTTCATTATTTTTTCACTAAGACAATAACTTGTGGATGTAAAAATACACATAGGCCATAGCAAATGAATATAAGAAAATTAGTTGATGATATTATAAAACAAATAATTTGAAAATAAGTACTATAATCTACAAGAAAGTTATAATAAACTTAGAACGAAAGATAAACATATCTTTTGTTTGTTTTTGTTCGTTACGTGCAAAGTTGGTGTTTAGAATAATATAATCTGGACGTGAAAGATTAAATTAATAGACCAAATGACCAATACAATAAGGTTTGCTCCTCCACATGATTCTACCGACTACTAGGCACTAGCCTTCATTTGTCGTTTTCTGCAAATTAATAATGCTTAGGTTATGTTTTTTTAAATATTCTCTGTTAAGATTAGTTTTGAATTATTAAGAAGACATATTAAGTTGACCCAAAAAAAGTAGACATAATTTATTCTTTTTCCTTTCATTATTGGTTTATAACTTGATTAGAGTCTTCGACCAATCTTTGGAATTCAGATTCCAAATTATTGATTAGTTCCGTCAGTATCATATATTTTACGAAAACTTATTTATGCTCGAACGGATAATATATTTCACCATTCGTAATATTTCGAATCATACTCACTAATTTGCGTATTTTATGCTGTAAAAAAAATAAAATAATAATAAAATAAAATTCGCGTATTTTATAAAATGTTTTTTTTGCAAGAGCAACAAGTTTTTTTTTTGCAAGAGCAACCGAACTCATCACCTTACTATTATTTTAATTTCCCTTGCTAACTACTCTTTTTTTTTTTTTGGGTCGCCAAACTCTATTTTGAATACCACCATAACATTTTAGATACTAGTAATCGATCGGAATTCTGAATGTCGATCCATTTTCATATCTAATGCAAGTGTTTTGAAGAACAATGTTACAAACTTTTATATTACATGTAAGAGGACGATGTTTCGCGCCATATAGTGATACACATGTAATATGTTTGTAGATTGTACATCATGTGCAATTTAGATGTGAGTTCAGATTTTTCATTATATAAATGGTTTAACATGGATGATTTGGTATAATTTCGGTTTCTTCTGTTTGTATTCAAATTTTAATCAATATATATTTTAAGTTTCAAATAAATTTTCGTGTTATTAATTAAGTTTTTTTTTGTTTTTATCAACCGTTAAGTTCAAATTTAGTTTGGTTACTAGCAAATGAAATTGAAGGCCCAATACAAGGAAATGCTGAGCAGAAAGCCTAATGAAAACTATTGTAAATGGCTAAATGCATTGCTACTGCACTACTGGATCTTGTTACGTATCTCTCTCGTCACTAAACTACAAAATCATGTAATCTCGTCTCCCGCCAATAATGCTCAAACTTTTGTATATGTTGGTTGGATACTTGGATCAATATAATCACAGAAGGTTGCAAAAAAAAAAAAAAAAAAGAAATGTTACTTCTTAAATTATTATACTGTATAGCCGTCTAGGGATATTATATATGTACGTATATATGTAATTTTCTACTGTATACAGCTCTCTAATTAATTGGAAGAGGTCCTAGCTAATTTCCCTAATTACTATACGACCCCATACCAAAAAATACACACAAATCCACCCCCAACCAATTAACCATCTAGAGTTGATTTAAATCAACTTATCGGTAGCCTCCGATCTAATGCGTTCGATTCTCCGGCGTAATCTTCTCCGGTGATCATGAATTTTCCACAGCCCATGTCCTAATATGACTGCCGAGTATATACCATGCGTCAGCATCGGTGCTAAAATATTATCGGTCTGAAAATTTGAAAAAGATAACGAGAAATTAAACATAATCAACCTATAAGTTACCAACTTTAGTTTTTCAACAAATGATTAACCAGAAATTTTAGGGGTATATATACAGTAAAGTTCTCTATCACAGTGTTAGTGTTGATTTGTTGTATCTAGCAAGTGGAATCCCAATAATTGCATACCAAACCGAACAAAAACAAAAACCAAACCGAGATTTTACCTGAACCCATTCAATACCGAGATAGAGGGCTAAGAGTCCTTCGAGTAGAGGAGAGTAAATCTTCTTCATCTGTCTCTTCTCGTACCAAGCTGCACAAAGCAATGACAAAGAAGATTTCATAAGCAGCAGATGATCAAACCGGGGTTTTTTTGTACCAACCGGTTAATATTTCCCTGTTCTCCAAGCTATTCTATAGTTTACCTTTCACATTCTTTCCCAAAACAATATGGTCAAAACAAGAAGACAACGAGTACCTGACAAAAGCTTCTTAAAATCATCTCTGCGTGACCTTAAAACCGGGGCAACAATGTATGTCGGGTCTGGAAACGAAAATGAGAATCAGAATGGAACTAAGAAACTAGACAATTAACAGATCAAGTACATGATCATATCCTAACCCTTTGGAGAAGCAGCAAGAAAGTAGAGAGAGCCTGTGAGAGTGGCAGTGATTACAGCTGCAAAGGCTTGAGCAAATGGGACAAATGGAGGAAACACTCCGGTCTAAAGGTAACACAACAAACATACGATATATGAAGTCCATGAGAATATATAGGAGAATCTAAACATAGAAAAAACTGTGAACTTACCAGAGATGCCATGCCTCTAGAATCTGTCATCAACTGTGTTCCTTTCAAGAATATATCAGACAGAGCACCCTATGAGAATTACCAGAGTTCAATAAGTAATAACTCAATCAAAGTGGTCAATGATTCTATACTTGGCCAAGTTAAATGAAACCAAACCTGTACAGCAACACGGTAAAAGAGCTCTTCTCCTATTGAACTAGCCGCGACAATGAGTATAAACTGGAGAAAGTAACTAAAACCTCAAAACCAAGATTCAATAGTGATAGGTTTGAAAAACAAAGAAAAAGCTAAGATGATCACCTGCCATGGGGACATTCCGAAGAAAAAGCTTCTGAGCTCCTCATCTTCCACATCTCTAATGGCCCGAGCGTGCGGTGATAGCTTCACAACTTCATCCTGAAATCAGACAAAGAGAATTCATTTAAAACCAAGTCCAACAACATAACAAGAATCAAAAGATGATTATGAGGTTATATTGGTTACATCGAGTATGAAGAGAAGAGCCATGATTGGTGGTGTTGCATAGCCAAGTCCGGCGAGAAGTGCGTCAAGAGAAGGATCAAATCCACCAGATGAATCAATTCCAGTCACCGAACATATGAATCTTCCAGCTACAGCCATTGCTCCATATATTCCTAATGATCCAATCACACATTTTAAATTTTGATCCAACACAAAGATTACTAATGACTCCGCTGGATATTAAGAGTAAACACTAACTGAAAAATGTAAATCTACTCACCGATTCCGTAAGTAAGTCTAACGACGGCGCCAATTTTGTCCCAGATCGGAAAATCAACGGTGGTGGAGTTAGCGAATCCACGATCAAGTGTTGTCACCTCCATGGCAGTACCAGCAAATCCTCCTCCGCCGTCTGTCTTCTCGATCCCTTCGCTGCTCCGTTCAGCGGAAGCTATAACGCTTCGTGACCTTTCTCCACCATTGAATCTCATTCTGAAGCTCCGTCTTCTCTCCGGGAACTCACAGATACTAGTTGAGGAAGAAGAAGAGTAAAAGCCTGTCCGCGAAAACGACGCGGAGCTAGCATACGAGAGTAGCGGAAGCTCCATTTAAGGTTGCTCGAGGTAATCGGAAAACTAAAGTACTTAGTCGTGATCTCTGACCGGTGAATTCTCAGTGTGCTTCGTCTTCTTCATTTGCTCTGCTATGTGCGTGTGCTTTGTTAATTTTGGGTTCTTTGAATTTATACAAAATCTAAAATTGGAGAGATAAGGTCTTTTCTGGTCCGTTGGATTTTTATCGTACGGTTAAGAGGATATCTGGTTTAGATGAAGCATATCTCTGCAACCAATCATTATTTGACACGTGGAGATAACATTGGCGGGATCAGAAGAATCCGTTCCCAACGGGGGTAACTGCCATCGCATAAACTTTTTATTATTTTAATACCTTCAGATAATAAAATGACTATAATCTTAATAAATAAAAAAAGTGAATCCAGGGAAAAAAATCACAATAAAAATCTTATTCAAAAGGCTTAGTGAAAAAAATCTTTACTAGAAAGGCTTAAAAAAGTTTTAAAAAGACTTTAAAACCAATAAAATTTCCTTATTTACAATTCATGCCATTTTCAATTAAAAATCCCAAAAAAAAATGCAGAAATTATATAACAAGAATTATAATAATCTCTTACTAATAAAAGAAACTCATTGAGGCTTCTCAAGCCATCCACATCAGCAAACTAAAGAGTTCCTAAAATCATGCCACATCAGCAACCCAAAAAACTGTGGCCACGTAGCTCTCTTTACGAGTTCTTTCTTTTGTTTTGTCTTTTGAAATTCACTTGCCAATTAGATAAGTTTGAACGACTCGGCTTCCTCATAAAGTCATAATCTCCCTTTTTCTTCGTAAACAAAACCCCTCATCACCTTCCTCTCATCAAATAATTTCGCTCGGATTGAAGATGCGAATGGAGTTTCATTCATCACCGCAACGAGCCCATCGACCGGAATTTTCGAAGTAACCTCCCTTCCCTGTCTTCTTATTATACAAATACTTTATCTACGTATATGCTTTGGATCCCTCGATTGAATCGAGAATCAATCCACTGGAGAGGTTTCAATGACCTCATTATTAGTAGTAGATTTGTTTCACGTTTTTAGATTCGATCGTCTGTATGAGCAGGGGATATCAAGAGTGTTCTTCAGTTCAACCCTAGGCATAAGAGCATTGAAAACTTGGAGTTAGAAAGACAAATATGTTTAATGTAGAACTATCCGCGCATCTCTGTTGTAAAAACAAGGTTTCTTCTCTCTTCTCCAGAAATCATATTGAATTGAAAATTTCATCAAAGCTAATTCCAGTGAAGAACAAAGTGATTGTTTTCTTAATTTGGTTTGCTTCTTCTATTTCGTTTCAGCACACCGAAGCTTTGAAGATGTGTGACGGTGGCAGGGTCATGCATGTGTAGAAGAGGAGGCCATACAAAGAGTCGTTGATGCTGCGTTACAATATGAACAAATAATCGGAAGTAGGTTAATGCCATTTCACGATTTTTAACAGCCCATTTTACATCAATTGCCATAAGTTCTTCACCTATGAAAGCTTTCTCCCCGTTTCTTTACTCTTACAACATGAACAAATCGCTTTGTCTTAGTAACTACTAGATAGAAGGTTCAGCGAGTAAAGAGATTAAATAAAAATAGCTTTCTGGCGTGTCATGCTCTAATCTATTACCCACTTTCCTATATGTGCAGTTGTCAACTTAACACATTGATCTTCCAAGGCTTACAAAAGTTGTTGTTGGTAAGCTACATTGACTGCATCTTATTGACCAATAGAGCAGAGAGTTTAGGCCTATTTCTTTAACAATTGATCATGAGGTATTACACTTTATTATCTACCATTGGTTGTTTCCCATGACACAAAGCGTTATTTTCAGTCTTTTATTGTAAAGGTAATAGGGATTCTTTACTTTCCCCCTGCCTTGGGACTCTTAATGTTATTATGGACAGTCTATTGTGACTTTAGAATAGTTTAAATAATACGTTAGCGTTTCCCTACATTATGCAATCCATATATACGTTTGACCGGGGAAAAGGGGATGACAGTTGATACAAGCATTCACCAAAAAGGTCAAATGTAAAAGTTTCCTCTCTAATCTTTCAATTATTTTGTATGCTGGTACCGGTGGTATGTGGGTTTAATGCTACGTTAATGGGTTCTCAGACTCGATTCATAATCTCTGTTTTCTTTCTCAAAATTAGCATGCTTTATTGAGAACGTGGATGAGCTAAAATCAAAGGGTGTTGATGTGATCATCTTCTTTGCCGATAAGTATGATTGTTTCAATGTCAGGTAAGTTTCAGTTACACTAGCCTTCTCACATTGTCACGTAAGTGTGATCATTTTGTTGAATCTTTTGCAGAAGCATATGGAGAGAGTTGGCATTTGACCGACCCGGTCGCCCGTTTCAGCTACACTACCCTTCTCACATTGTCACGTGAGAAATTATCAGTTCAGGTTCATAAGACATTCAACGTTGTGTAGTAAATCAAACTTAATGCTAAGATCTCTCAACTGTTTCACCACAGTCTCTTTCGTTTTACATGTTCTCAAGATAATATTTTCTATATTTAATTTGGTTATCCGTTACATGATGATATATAAGGTCTGAAACGCATGGATATATAGTTGACGAATATTTATTCTTCACGTAAACTATAGAGATCCCATGTTATGAGATTAGTATAAACGTGAACACCTTTACTATAATCTACATAGTTTATGGTTTTCTGTATTTTTAGAGATAACATTTGTTCGTTTGGATGCCATGGAAGACCGGAGTTTTATTCTATCTTTTGTTTTCTAGAGTTCTTCTCGCTGATCATATAAACTAACAGTTCTCCGTTTTAACAATGAAGCTGTAGGAAACAGAGGAGTACAAGGAATATCAATTTCCCACATATTTTAATACAATTGTGAGAGGTAAATTGTCCATCTATTATCATTCTCGAATCTTCAAAGTAGAATTGACTTCATCTGATGCTTAGTTAACGTCTACATCAAATTTATCATTATCTTTTCGTCAGATCTTTAATAGTAGTTTAATTTTCTCTTTCTTGATCATTTAGATATACACTTTTTCTTTTAGCATAATTTTTCGTTGGATGTTAGCATATTTATATATACTAGGAAGCCTTGCTACACGCATATGGGGTATGCTATTCAACTACTGAACTCAAAGACCCAAATTTGAGGGTTTATACATGTCATAAGTTAATTTTTTTAAATGTGATACAATATTACTACTTCAAGCTCCAATGATTATTTCTATCTCTAAGTTTTAGTCTAGGAAGTGTCATGAGTCCTAATAAGTTCTTGGAAACAATGGTGAGTGCCTACTATTTCTTTTACGTTTGCCTTTGATAAAATCCCCTGTTCTAAAAATCCTCGCCTAGCCCCGATTACTCCCCGCTTAATCGCTAGGCCCACCCTATCCGCCTCGATTAATGACTAATCCCCTAAAAAATCAGTAACCCGATTATTCTCCGCCTAATCCGATTATTTTCCGCCTAATCTTATATACCCCGATTATTTTTTAGATTGCAAGTATAAAAAAACTTTTTATTTTTGTTATTCAATCATTTGAATGGAGAGTTTGTGATGTTTTACAATAACTTGTGTTCAAATTTTAATAAAAATCATAAATTTGTAATAAAAATCATAAATTTTTACAATATTGGATTAATATATTTTAAAAATATTAAAATAACCCTAAAACTAATCCCCGATTAATCCCCGATTTTAATCCGATTTTCCGATTAATCGCTAGGCCCATGCCGAGCGCCCGACTAGCGCCTAGCGATTTTTCAAACAAGGATAAAATCTACTATGTTTATTTCAACTTATGTCTTTATTTTTTTTTCTTTTTTTAATAACTTATGTCTTTAGTTTCTGTTTTATTTGTAGGTTTGATTCAAATTGTCGGACGAACAAAATCTACATGTAGATTAATACGAGATCATGGCAGTGATAATAGGAAACTTTTTGGAGAAGGATGTAATAGTACCAAAATGAGAAGTAATGAAATGGAAATCAAAGAGAGAAAATTATGCCCCCCAAAAAAGGATGGTTAAGACGTGAACCGGTGCACATTTATTCGAGGATATGTGCAACATTACAACGAAGCACTTACAAACTCAAAGTTTAATGTTATTTCTCTGCTTGGATTTGAAAAGGCTTTAGAAATTGATCAAAATTTATCAAAAGAATTGCGGAAAATAGCTCTTTAGTATTCATCAAAATTCATGTCTTTCTCATATAGAAAACTTAAATCGGTTGTACAAAATTAAAATATAAGTGTAACAAAATAGCAAAAGCAAACAAATGAAAAGAAAACTCTCTCAACCTTGAGCCACCCGTAAACCCTAGATCTCTCACCGTCGCCGGCAAACCCAATGGCTAAGAAAAATAAACCCCCTTCCTCTTCCTCTCACCGCTCAGTTTCCGTTGCTTCCTCCAAAAATTCTCTTTTGCCATCCGAAACTCGATCTCTTCTCCGGGGCTAATTCTGATGTTGAAGCGTTGGATAAGCCGCCTTGGGTAAATATAGTAAAAAGCACTTCTCAAACGATGAGGAAGAAAGGAAAGGAATTTACCTTAACCTCGGGTGTTGAAATTCCGGAACAAGCACCGATGGGAGAAATTCATCATAGATCTGTTTCACGGGAATGCTCCTAGTCCAGGTGCTCTTCACGCCATTTGGAGCAACAGATTACGTGATATTACGGTTTTTAAGCTCTCGGATAAATCTTTTCTTATCAAGATCTCGAACCCAGAAACTCGGAAGAGGGTCCTGGTTTTTCTCCGAAGATCCCAACTCTCACTAGAGTTCTTGGACAATTTTCTAGAAGCTCTTCACTTGTACGTATATGTACGTATCTTTGATTATTTCTCAATTTATTGTGTTATCGTTTAGAAATTATCTCAATTATTTTGTTTCATTACATATACAATCGAGATTGGAAGAAAATAGAAGCAAAACTCTTTTCTCTTTTCTTGTTCAATCCGTCTAGGGCATTTTGTTTCAATATGCTTTTACTTTCGATTGGATTGACTTCGAGTATAGAGGTGAATTTCTTTTCTGGGTTTATATAATTTTTTCAGATGTGGCTAAGAAGCCGATAGCTGGGTTCGTTGATGAGAATGATGTTTTCCAATGGAGCTTCTCAATTATGGCTTGTAGTAAGTTTTTTCTAATCTCTCATGTTTCTGTTGATTGGAGATATTATTCAAACTAAACTGCAGGGCCTTGATTTTTTTTCTCACTCATCTTTGTCTCCAAATTTTGTTTGTTCTTAGCCTATTGCAAGTGGTAACTAGCTTTTGCATTTTGTAAATCTTCTTTGTGGAACGAAGTAGCTAACACAATTGAGGTGTAAAATAAATTTTCTGATTTTTATTTTGCGTCTTGAACCTAGTTTTGGATTAAAATTATCATGCTTATAGATAGTCACAAATTCACCAGACTAATACTTTGGAGGTTCATTACTTTGTTACAAATTCACCAGACTAATACTTTGGCTGTATCTTTGTTACAGATTTAGAGGAAAATATGATTGAGAAACAGTCTCACACCACTAATTCACTAACAACACTACGTATTGCTCGAAGGTGTAGAAAAATTGTAGTGTCTCTTACTTTAAAATATTTATAATGGTTTTCAAAGATGATTTCTATTGGAAGTATTTTTTTACTTTCATCATAGAGGTGTAGTAAACGTCGTAGTGGAAGAGAGATCTTTGAAACAAAACTAATGAGGGCTTTGTTGAAGCTTGGAAACTATCGGTTCAACTTTTGCTCTTGACAGTGTTTTTTGTTGGTAGTTAATATTAGCTGTGATTTATGGCTGCTGATTGCTACAATTTTGTTTGTTAGGAGATTTTTGTTGAAGGATTAGCTTATCAGTATTTATGGTTCCAATAATCGTTTGTTTTTCCATGAGAGCAGATTGTTGTGATGGAAGTCATGAGTATGATGGTCAAGTGACATGCCCAAATACATGCTCGGAATCTGAAAAGCTGCTCGAGAAAGTCTGAAGAAAAAAGTCAAGAGACATATAACCAAAGGTTTGTAATTATACATTGGAGCTGGACTGGTGTCTTACCCAATTCTCAGATCGTCAAGAACGAAGGGGCCAAGTCACTCTTCAAGGGTGCAGGTGCCAACATAGTGATGGGATTGTAATTTGTACTTTGTGACTACTGACTACAGTAATTTGATTTTGTATTGATAACCGAGCAAAACCAAAATACGATTTTGACTTTATTTACACAAAACCGGAACCAAATTACAAGTTTGGTTTCACTTCGGATTGAATATTATCTGACCTGAACCGAGCCGAACTCGAAAAAAAAAAATCAGAATTACACCGATTCGAATTTGGTAATTTAATTCAAGCCTAGATCGATCTATTAGTTTTTCAGTTTGTGTTGTGGTCCACGATGCTTTGCAAAGTGGATGATCAAGTTTCATCATTGGCCTTTTAACTCTTCTAAGGAATATTGGAGAAATACATCATCAGAAGACACGCTTGGGTCAGCAAATTGACAACACATGCGAAAAAATATCTTTTGACGACGGTGGAGATGAAGAAGAAGAGTCTTTGGTAGAACCTTTACGTCCGATGTTTAATATCAAGTTCCAAGGGAACTGTTCATAGCTTTTCTTTTGACATGTAACATGAATCCAAAACTATTATTTCAAAGATTGATTTCTTTCTTTCTTTAGTTAGTGTTCAAATTGTCTGATTTGTAAATCAAAATTTTGGCTCAAACATGACAACATCATGGAGTACACTCACACAATGACAAGGCATGCTCTTAGGAAGTTTCTAATTTTTATTTCATAGACACTTAGGAAATTAACCTAAGGGGTTAATGTGCAGCATTGTCAGAAAGATGGGTTACGGCGAAGGATTTAAATGGGTTTCTCAATATATCGACTAGTCTCAAAACTGTGCTTTTTTTTTTTTTTTTTTTTTTTTGTTCTTCGTTTTCACAAAAACGCAAAATCAATCGGAATCTGTAGTGTGAATTAACGATTCTCTAGATTTTGGAAACGTATCTTGATTCCCACAAGTAAAGACGACTTCTTCCTCTCAGATCTAATAGAATCAACAAATTATTTTTAACAATCACAATCAGATGTGAAAACGAAATCATGTTCTCGTAGCTAATGATAAACAATTCGTTCCTTCATTTTTGCAGCTAATGATAAACAAGCTACTGATAACAATCGAATCGCCTACGATTCATCACTCTGCAACTTGAAAAAGAAATCATCTTTAGTCATATTGGTAAACAAACTTCAATCGGAAAAAAAGGAGAGATTTTTGGTATTAAAAATTGAAATTCTAAGTTTCACCGATGAAGAATATCCGAGTTCAAATATCTCTCCTTTATGTTATCGGAGATGTGAGAGGAAGAAGTCGACCGGTGAAGAAGACGAAGAACACAAAAAACAAAAATTAAAAAAAAAAAACTACAGAGTGTAGTGTCGAACCCGGCTCTTGAAGTTTTCAAAACCCAAACGCTGACACCAGACCACATCAACTATCATGTTCTGTATAGTAAATAGATGATTTATATTTATATGAAAACGTGGGTTTAAATTTCGTTGATGTGCTCAGATTCGAATCACCGACAAAGTGTTTAACCTACAAACAACGAAGAAGATGCGTGTACATTGAAATTGTAATTACGGTTAAAGTGGGAGGGTATTTGTGGAATTACCAATTTTTACGCTGTGACAGATTTAACATCATACATAACTCTATCAAAATAAATCTATCATGACTATCTAAAAAAACTTTTTTGCAGGATTGCGGTTTTAACGATTTTAAGTCTACCCCCACATTGTCTCGCTAACTCTGTCACCAAGCAGTCGTAAACCCACAACTCTATCGTCACATACATAAAGTCTTCCACTACTATTCTGACACACTGTGACACGCTAGTAATTAATTTGTTGAATAAGTCTGTCCGATTATATAATAACTTTACCATAATCAATTACTCTACTTTTACTAGTCACAGACTTTGTTCCTAAATTCAAACTCTACCACATTACTCTGTTTTTCTTAACAACTCTATCATAACCTTTGTTAACTCTACCAATTAAATCTATTTCCTAAACTACTCTGTCATAACTGCATGTAAGTTTGCCAAACATATCTATTTTACATATTACTCTGTCACCACTATAAACAACTCTACCAAATAAATCAACCAAAAATACAAAAATCAATCAATCTTACTTCAATCTACTGTGTCTGAACCATAGATTTATCTAACATATCTGACAACTCTGTCATAGTTTATTAAAACTACCATGAAAATCTGTCACCTACAAAAATCTGTCGCTACATCCAAAAATCAACCCTTTTTCCCGCCACTTGCTTTTTCCCAACTCCCTCTTTTTTCATGGCATATCTGTAATTAATTCTAATGGCATTTCTGTTATTTTTTTTTTCGCATAACACATACTTGAGGTCAAGATTACCTTTTAAAAAAGATAATACTATTGCTCCAAAACCATGTCATTTTAGTTTTTTTTCAACTTAACTAGGCCTTTTGAGTAACTCTCCCTAAAGACAATTGATTTCATTTATGTTGAATATCAATTTCTTTTGAACAGATTACCTTTTTTTAAACAATCTCAGAATCTCTTTTTAACGCTTTGATTTTCTTTTTTGAATATATATCGAATACAATAAAATTAACACTTTTCATATTTTAATCTAAATCATTATCTTAATAATAAGTGGCACAGGAAATCAATAAATAATGTGACAAATATATTTAAATAAAAAAATAATTCTTCATTTTTATAAATTTTGGTGGATTATTTTGACTATTTTTAAGTATTTTAGCAATCTCTTTATTTAAAGGTACGTAAGAAATGTATTTTGAAAATTTTGGTATGTTCTTTTTATATAAGGGATACTAAAAGCCAATTTATTCATATTTCCCTATATATACACTTGAACGTTGACCAAACTATATATGCATATGTTATTTTTGGTAAAACAATAAAATTACGAGTATATGAATGGAAATAGTTTTAATAGGGCATTGACTCGAATTGGTTTATTTATACTGAAAAGAATCATTGATATAATTGGAGAAACGAACAATAACTTATCAATGGCATTACATCTAGCGTTAGGTCTATGTGTTTATCTGCTGTTTATACAAGGTTCACTGGGAAACATTGATGTGAGTCCGTAGGTTATGTTTGTTTGTTCTATCCTCTAAAGATTTTCATTTTATTTTAAGAATTTTTTCTAATTTGTGTGTTGAACCAATTTTACAGGATTTTGATTGTGTTGAAATATACAAACAACCGGCTTTTCAACATCCATTGTTGAAAGATCACAAGATACAGGTAACGTAGCATATAGCATTGGGTAAACTATTCGAGATTTGAAATTTAATTTGATCTAGTCCAAAATAGAATTATATAGATTTTTCATATCGAATCAAATCTCGCATATTCCATTTATTTTATAAAACGATTTTGAATTTTATATTACAATAAGTAAATATTAAATGTTATGAAGATTCAATTTGTTCTATTTTTACAATAATTTTATTTTAGTCAAGGATGAGTATTCCTAATAAACTTTTGGATGAATAAGTTTATTTTAGTTTAAAATTTTATAAAATGTGAATAAAATAGTTGTGGTCAATCAAATATGAAACTAGGACATCCGGAAACATCAATAATGATGAATCTTATTTTCCCTTGTGTGACTTGTGATACAATGTAGGAAACATTCAGCCTGGATGGAATTATTGAAAGAAGCAACAAATATAATACAAAAGAGCATTGTCCAAAAGGAACCGTTGCAATTTTAAGACAAAGAAATGAATCCAAGAGCGTTCATTTGAATACAGCCGAATATTCTGGTCAACATGTATGTCTTCTTCTAATTTTTGTTTTTGAAAGGAGTTACAAAATCTCATTTAGCTATTAAGACAGGGGACTAATAATATATTCGTTATATGTAAACTAATAGAGAAAATAAAAATATATGATTGTTATCCATGCAAAATATATATTATAGATGAAAATTATACTAACATATTGATAAAATTTACAGTTCGCAACAATTGAGACCATGTTAGATGGAAGTATATATTGGGGAGCAGAAGCTGATATAAGTATTCATGATTTAAAATTGCAAAATAATCAATACAGTAAAAGTCAAATATGGTTAGAGAATGGACCTCCAGATCAACTCAATAGTATACAAGCTGGTTGGGCAGTAAGTCAATAATATTAATTACTTGCTAAAGATTCTCCATTCCATACATATGTTTTTTACATACATACTTAATTATGTTTATATTTTTCTATTTTAGGTCCATCCAAGATTGTACGGTGATAGTGTCACACGATTTACAATATATTGGACTGTGAGTAATTTTTAGTTATTCTTATTCTCATAATTAATTAGCTTAGCGTTAAAAAAAAAAGTCAAAATAACCGGATGGCTTTCACTATTTTATTTATGTAACAAATATTATTATATGTAGGGAGATGGTTATCAGAAAACTGGTTGCTACAATACGCAATGCCCTGGCTTTGTGGTTGTAAGTCGAAATCCAAGACTTGGAAGGGAATTTTGGGGAACATCTGTCTACGGTCAATTAAGCCTTACGTTTAAATTACAAGTTTTTCAAGTAAATTTCTTTTTATCATTTTTAAGAAAAAAAATTATATAGTTAGTTTAGATTAACTTATCAGATCACACAACTGTTTAGATCTTTTGGATACTTATCGAAGTATTTAATACATTTTTTTTGTTTTCTATGTATTAGGATGGTTTCAGCGGAAATTGGGGACTTAAAATGTTTAATGAAGTCATTGGTTATTGGCCCAAAGAGTTATTTCCACACTTAAATAATGGAGCTTCTCTAGTGAGATATGGAGGAAACACTTATTTATCTCCCGACGGATTGAGTCCCCCTATGGGTAATGGATATTATCCAGTTGCAGACTTCAAAAAGACAGCACATTTTAATAATGTCGTGATTATAAACTCACAATACAAAAGAGTTTATGTTGAAGATAGGAAAATAAGACGTTATGCTGATTCCTATAGATGTTTTAGGGTGACATATTGGGGTTATACCAAATCCACCGGAGTAGCTTTTTCGTTTGGAGGACCAGGAGGAAATTGTGGTGTTTGATGATTTGATGAATTATATATACCAACCAAATTGTATCAAATTTCAAATAAGAATAAAATCATCTCAAATATTTCAACCAAAGATGATTAAGAGGTTATATTTGGTTACATCGAGAACGGAGAGAAGAGCCATGATTGGTGGTGTTGCATAGCCAAGTCCAGCAAGTAGTGCATCAAGAGAAGGATCAAATCCACCAGATGAATCAATTCAACATATGAATCTTCCTGCTACAACCATTGCTCCATATATTCCTAATGATCCAATCATATATTTTAACTTTTTATCCACACAAAAACTACTAATGACACAAAAAGGTTAAATTTCAAGTTTCACATATTAGAGGAGTGAAAAACAGAATTATTTGGTAAATTAAGCTCCTGGATTTTGAAATTAAGAGTAAACTGTAACCGTAAAATGTAAAATCTACTTACCGATTCCGTAAGTAAGTCTAACGACGACGCCGATTTTATCGTATGGTTAGGAGGATATCTGGTTTAGATGAAGCATATCTCTGCAACCAATCATTATCAGACACGTGGAGATAACATTGGCGGGATCGGAATCTGTTCCCAACGGGGGTAACCGCCATCTCATAAACTATAATTTTAATAAGAAGGCAGCGCTGCGCGCCTACGGTCCTTTGCTTGAGAGATTCTGTCTAGTGGCATTCGATCACAGAATCCATTATTATAAAGATGAAATCCAAAAAAAATAAATCACAAGAAAGACAATTTCTTTTTAACGCTTTGATTTTCTTTTTGAATATATATATCGAATACAATAAAATTAGCACTTTTATTAATATTTTTAAACTAAATCATTATCTTTAATAACTAGTGGCAAAAGAAGTAAATAAATAATGTGGCAAAAGATATTTAAATATGTTATTTTTGGTGGATTATTTTGACTATTTTGGCTATTTTTAAGTTATTTAGGTAGCAATCTCTTTGTTCAAAGGTACGTAAAGATGTATATTGATAATCTTTGAAAAGTTCGGTATGTTATTTTTATATAAGGGATACTAAAAGCCATTTAGCCATGTTTCCCTTTCTATACACTTGAACGTTGACCAAAAAAATATTTGCATGTTATTTTTGGTAAAACATTAAAAATACAGCTAATATATGAATATAAATAGTTTAAATATAATAGTCTTTGACTAGAATTGGTTTATTTATACTGAGAAGTATGAGAGATATAATTGGAGAAACTAAAAATAACTTATCAATGGCATTACATCTAGCGTTAGGTCTATGTGTATATCTGCTGTTTACACAAGGTGCACAGGGAAACATTGATGTGAGACCCTAGCTTATGTTTATTTGTTCTATCCTCTAAAGATTTTTCATTTTTATTTATAGAATTACTCTTTAATTTTTGTGTTCAACAAATTTGACAGGATTTTGATTGTGTTGAGATATACAAACAACCGGCTTTCAAACATCCATTGTTAAAAAATCACAAGATTCAGGTAATGTAACATATACTAGATCATCACCCGTACTAAAGTACGGGTTGAATTTTATTTATTACAAAATTTATATAATATATATATTAGAAATAAGTTTTAATATATTATAATAGTAAGTGAAAAAATATTAATTTTTTGTCAGTCCCTATATACAATATTAGAATTAGAATAAATATAGATTTTTTTCTATAATACTCAATTGTGGATAATTTTTTTTTTAAGATATGAAAACGGAAAATAATTTTATTTTTTAAAAAGTAATATTTTTGGAACAATGAGTTAATTTATGTTAACAACCACAAAATAGGATTGCATATATTTCAGTTAGATTAAAAATTAAAATATCATAAATGAATCGCATATAAAACATAGATTATTTTGAACTAATTAAGAAAATTAACTATTATTTTGAATTAATTTAGAAAATTCCTTTTCAATTTATAATTTTTTGGTTGTTGAAATTAAGATTTGTTTGAGCTAATCTAATTACAGAATTTGTTTGAGATTTATAACTACGGATTTACCAATTATTCGCATAATCGAATATGTTATAAACATATATTTAGTATATAATAATACCAAAATCAACCTGTGCGTGGAGTCTATATTTTTATTTTAGAATCTCAATATTTCATTTTAAAATATTGTGTGCACAATCTATTATTCGTTAATTCTAAAATTGCTTGCGGAATCAAATTTTCAAATATTTAGAGGTGTCAAACCATATTTAAATGTTCTACACTATTTTTAAATATTCCAAATTAAAATCTTTAAATTTTTTTTGTAGTTTATAAAATTATGAAATTCAAAAAACAAATTATATGAAATTAAATATAACTATTCAAATAGTTATAAGGATCAAAACTCATTTCATCATATAATATATTATATTTGACCCGCTACCTATTATAAATATTTTTTAAAATAATCAAATTAGAGTATTTATAATTTTTAACTTTTTGAGCTATTAAGTATTGATGATATTCTCTAAAAATATCAAGTAAAACTTATTTTAAATGTTGCAAATGAAAATATTTAATTTTTTTATTGTAGTATATAAAATACATTTCAAAAAAATAAATTTATGAAATCGAATATAAATATTCAAATTCTGACCCGTTGTTCAGTCGGAATTTTTGTTGAATTTATTTTTGTCTAAAAGAAATATATTACTCAAGTCTGAATTTTTGACCCGTTTAATTGTTTCATTTATAGATTGAACAATTTATATGCGTTTTTAAAAATTTAAATCTTGGCATTTGCAGAAAAAAAATACTTTTTTTTATTATTATGTAGATGATATGATGATTTATTTTTTTCATATAAATATAATCATATAAAGATGAGAAGTGAAGTCTAATGATTAATAACAAATTAATATGGTAAGTTAGATATCAAATCTTATATGTTCATTTTGATTGGTCATTTTAAAAAAATAAAAAATAACAGATTTTCGTTTTATAATTTAATTAAATTAATTAAATGACTTAAATTAGTATTTTACTTGTTTATCCTTAATAAATTGAATGAAATTTGTTCAAAAATAAGATTTTTGTAATGGCATTCTTAAGTAATTTTTTACAAAAGAGAAGGTTAGTTAAGGGTATCTTATAAAGTGTACTCCCCAAATAATAGTATAGGATCATTGGACAAAATATTCAAGATCTGATTCGATTCAGTCCATAATAAAATATCTAAATTTCTCATATCGAATCAAATCTCGGATATTCTATTCATTTTATAAAAAATAGAGTTTAAATTTTTTTATTATAATAAGTATTTTTAAATTTTACAAGGATTTAATTTATTCTATTTATACAATAATTTCATTATAGTTAAGGATAAGTTTTCCTAAGAAAACTTTGGATGAATAAGTCAGTTTTAGTTTATAAATTTATAAAACGTGAATAAACTATATGTGGTCAATCAAATATGAAACTAGGACTTCTAGAAACATCAATACTGATGAATCTTATTTTTCCTTTATTACTTGTGATATAACATAGGAAACATTCAGCCTAGATGGAAATATTGAAAGAAGCAACAAATATAAAACCAAAGAGCATTGTCCAAAAGGAACAGTTCCAATTTTAAGACAAGGAAATGAATCTCAAAGCGTTCATCTGAATACAGCCGAGTATTCTGGTCAACATGTATGTCTTCCTCTAATTTTTATTTTTGCAAAGAGTCACAAAATCTCATTTGATTATTAAGACATTCTGATAATATATTCATTATATATGCAAACTAAAAGAGAAAACCAAATTTCCGATTGTTATCCATGTATATATATATATATATATATATTATCGATGAAAATTAAACGATATTGATGAAATTTACAGTTTGCAACAATTGAGACTACGTTAGATGGAAGTATCTATCGGGGAACTGAAGCTGAAATAAGTGTTCATGATCTTAAATTGCAAAATAATCAATACAGTAAAAGTCAAATATGGTTAGAGAATGGACCTCGAGCTCAACTCAATAGTATACAAGCTGGTTGGGCAGTAAGTCAATACTATCAATTACTTGTTAAAGATTATGTATTCTGTAAATACGTTTTTACACAAATACTTAACTATATGTTAATATTTTTTAATTTTAGGTACATCCAAGATTATACGGTGATAGTGTCACGAGATTTACAATCTATTGGACTGTGAGTAATTTTTAGTTACTCTTATTCACATAAAAACATTTATTAGCTTAGTTTTAAGAAATAAAAGATCAAAACAATTGGATGATCTTTCACTATTTTATTTATGTAAATATATTATTATATGTAGGGAGATGGTTACCAAAAAACAGGGTGCTATAATATGCAATGCCCTGGCTTTGTGGTTGTAAGTCGAAATCCTACACTTGGAAAGGGATTTGGGGGATCATCTGCCTATGGTCAAACAAGTCTTACGTTTAAATTGCAAATTTTCCAGGTTAATTTCTCGTTCTCTGTTTTTTTTTATGAAAAAGATATATATATATATTGTTTAGATGAACTTATCATATCACAGAATTGTTTTGACCTTTTGGATATTTGTTAAAATATATAATTTTCATTTTTTCTGTATGTATTAGGATGGATTCAGCGGAAATTGGGGACTGAAAATGTCTAACGAAATAATTGGTTATTGGCCAAAAGAGTTATTTCAGCACTTAAGTAATGGAGCTTCTCTAATAAGATATGGAGGGAACACTTATTTATCTCCCGACGGATTTAGTCCTCCAATGGGTAATGGACATTTTCCCGTTCCAGACTTCAAAAAGACGGCACATTTTAAAAACATAGGGATTATAAACTCGGACTATAAAGCAGATTATATTGATGATAGGAAAGTAAGACTTTATGCGGATTCCAATAGTTGCTTTAGGGTGTCATATTGGGGTTATACCAAATTCACCGGAAAAGCTTTTTCGTTTGGAGGACCAGGTGGAAAATGTGGTATTTGATGTTTTAATGAGTTATGTAATACCAACCAAATTGTAACAAATTTCAAATAAGAATAAAATCATCTAAACTATTTATATTTTCTTAATGAAAATTCTGTAAATATTAAAAATTGATCATTACCAAAACCAAAACTTTTACAAGAGAAGTGAAACATCATAACTCAAAAGAAATCCTATAACTACAACCATCAACGTTCTGGTCTCAGTGATACAGATACTAGACATATTGTGTTTATCTCTCATTCAAATGAGCCTCATATTTAGAGATGATAAGGCCCATTAATAACAAACTACAAGCCCAATTTGTTTTACCATCTTTCGTCTTCTTCAATCGTATCCCTAAACCCTAGTCTCGACATCGCCGGGAACCACACCAGTCTCAATGGCGAAAACTCTATCCCGATCCACCGCCTCACGCATCGCTAATCGTTTATTCTCCACCTCCAAAGCCGCCGCCTCTCCTTCTCCGCTTCCTTCTCATCTCATCTCTCGTCGATCCTCACCGACGATCTTCCACGCCGTCGGATACATCCCAGCTTTGACCCGTTTCACGACGATCCGGACCCGAATGGATAGGTCCGGTGGCTCATATTCGCCGCTTAAATCTGGATCGAACTTCAGCGATCGACCACCCACTGAAATGGCGCCGCTATTTCCTGGTTGCGATTACGAGCATTGGCTTATCGTCATGGAGAAGCCCGGCGGCGAAAATGCGCAGAAACAGCAAATGATTGATTGCTATGTTCAAACCCTAGCTAAAATTGTTGGCAGGTGAGTCCTTGTCGTTGTTCGTTAGTATTCCTCAGCTACTTCACTGTAACATTACACAATCTGATTGTTGTTTGGTTTAATAGTGAGGAAGAAGCTAAAAAGAAGATCTACAATGTTTCATGCGAGAGGTATTTTGGGTTTGGCTGTGAGATTGATGAGGAGACATCAAACAAACTTGAAGGTATCTTTTTGTAACACAATTGTCAGTCAGTGGATGTGTATGGTACTTTAGAATCAGATGATGTGATTCTAATTGATGGAATTGGTCTTTTTGTGAGTTTCAGGACTTCCTGGTGTTCTATTCGTGCTTCCGGACTCTTATGTTGATCCAGAGTTCAAAGATTACGGAGGTAAGTTGTATTCATTGATCATTTCTTTGATGGTCTTTGTCATAATCATCAAGAACTTGTTTGCATTCAATGAGTTGATCTCTAGGAGAAGCATCACTCTTAGTAAACACTGAAACTCAACTGCATTTTCAAGCAAACCATTTTCTTTGATGATGCATTTGTTCGTATGTATGAAAGATTGAACTTGCTAAGTGCTTCTCTGGTTTATGTACATGTAAATTTTGTTGATTCTATCAGTTTAGCTCATAAACTATTTGCTGAATGTTTGTTATGCAATTGCAGCTGAGCTGTTTGAGAACGGAGAAGTAGTTCCTCGGCCACCGGAGAGACAGAGGAGGATGGTGGAGTTAACGACTCAAAGAGGATCGGATAAACCGAAGTACCATGACCGAACCAGAAATGTCCGACGGAGAGAGAACATGCGTTGACTCTTATTCTCAGACTCTACGCTAGAGCAGTCCTTTCCCTTTGAATTCCGATGCTTGTTTTTTTTTACTGTGCTAGACTCTTACCGAATAATGTACAACTCACAGACTAAAACAGAGCATAAATCACATCACTCGAATCTCACCAAAGGGGCTCTAAATCACAACAAAAGGGACTCAAAATCACACCAATGTTTGGATCATCATCACCGAAAAACACACGAACAGCAATTTTCATTTCCACG